CCCTTAAGAGTATACATTCAACATTAAAGCCCAATTGAAATATATATTAATCTTATTCACTTTTACTATTATTTTTTTAATGAACAAATGCAATAGATTAAAAAATGGAGGATTGTGCTTAGTAATGGGTGCAGAACACACCAGGATATAGCATTCTTTTCTGTTAAAAATAGTAATAGTTTTGTTTATATATAGTAAAAATTGTCTTAGAAGTAAAGACCTGGGCAGTATAAGTGTAAATTTATTTAATGTAAATGTAAATTCTACAATTCCAAAGTAGGCCCATCCTAAGTTAGTGTCATCAGAAATGATGGTACTATAACTTGTGTGCTTTGTTTATTTATTTGCAATATGCTCTAAACAGTAGAGATATATTATAATGTGCAATTTTGTTTTGTATTTTTTCAGGGTTGGAGCATGATTTTGACAGGGTTCTGATGCCGGATGGCAAACTAACAGTGGATGGATTTGTGTGTGTTTTTGATGTCAGTGATGTAAAACAAAGACCAATTGAAAGACAAGTGGAGTATGTTGCACTTATTCTTAACAGTCTCATGAAAACCAAAAAGCCAGTCGTTTTGGCAACAACCAAGAATGACGAAGTTCGCTCCCACAACAGCAAAGAGGCCGAGGCATTAGTTGCTAGGAAGGAATACAAAGGATCAATCCCAGTTATAGAAACTTCTGCCCATCAAAATGTCAACGTCGAACTAGCCTTTACAACTGTAGCACACATGATCGACAAAACCAGAGCGCGACCCAAACATGTGCCCTTCAGAGAGGCTGCAAAAGCCCGTAAAGAACTACTGGATGTAGCCAAGAGTGCGTACTTAAATTTACTAAGATCTCAAGTCCTGGACTACAAAGCCTTTTGGGGTAACGCAAGCAAAAAGTTTCAGGATAATCCTGATTTTATTCGATTTTTGGAATTTTTTGGGTCAGACAGTGCAAAAACCATTTTCAGGAGGCACACAAGACAATTGAAGGAGCACTTGATCAGGAAGAGGGAAGACACGTTCTTGAAACAGATCCCAAATCTGTTAAAGGAATTTTTACCAGATCTTACAACAATAGGTGATAGGTAGGTAGCATTTAATTTTTAATAGGAATAAACAGTCCCTTCCAAGAATAGTCTTTTATGGTTCAGTGATTTTTTTTTCTTTTGAAGATGAGTTTTAGAAAGAATAGAAAAATCCTTGAGTTCTTAGAAAAATTGTTGACATTTCCTCAGCTAGATGTATGTGAATTCCATCTCCCTTGGTATTTATGAAAAAATAATTGGGTTAATATTTTATATAAAGTACTTAATATACTCATCACATATGTAAACCACATATTGAATGTTGCTTTTTCCGTTCCATTACTTGACATTTTAAATTGCAAAAGATACTAGATAGTTATTAGGAAAGTGTGTTAAATGTTTATCATTTCTACATCCAGGCAATGGGGCAGCTGCAGGAATTTGATCAAGCAGCACGGAAATTTCAATGACCATTTTGTGATGCTAGACCAAGATGTGTCTTGGTCTGACACAGAATACCTAGACAGCACAGACGAGCGTGTCCCCTTTACCTTGCTTAGTTTCCCAGAGGCTGAGACTAGCTTTAGAAACCATGTCAATACACTCCAGGCTGAAAGTAGAAGGCAGGAGTAAGTATAGTCCACAGATGTCCTCTGCCTTGTATCATGCATGAATTTTAAGCATACAGGATGAGAGACTTTCTTATTAATTTTAGGTTTTCCTATTGCAGACCAAAAATTACAGTTTTTCATGTCTGTTGATCTAGATAAATTTTGAATGCCAAAGATGTTTTGCAGACTTGTAATTCTGTTTTCTTTACTATTTCAAGACTTCGAAAGCAATTCAAGCACATTCTAGAAGACAATCCACATGTTACACCAGGGAAAACATTACAAGAAGTGTCAATCTTTTTCCTCGGTCGTGAGAGTTACGACTCCTTATCTGAGGCTGACAGGAAAGAAGTCTATGACAGACATCAGCAAGAAATAAGTGAAGATGCTAAAAAGGACTTTGTAGAACTTCTGTATGAGCGTGCAGAAGTTTTTGCGAAATATGATCCCAATGAAACCATTACCACTGAAGATTTGCAGAGCATTATACAGGAACTGAAGGAAGAGCAAAGGTGAGAACTGATGTTTGTATGTTTAATGTGATCAGCTTTAGATTTTATCCCAGGTATATGTAGTTTTTTTATAAGGAAATTTTAATAATAAAAAAGTGTTTTTTTTGTTTTGATATAAGAGACATTCGTAGATAAAGCACTTGTCAACTACCAAGAGCTGGTACTTTTCTGCTTTGGTGAGTGTTAACCGACCAACTCCCCCTTCTTTTTTAAGCATTTAGTAGGTGTGCCAGTCTCTACTCAACTTGATTATAATGTCTGTGTGTGTTTGTGCACACCTGTGTGTGGTGAGCACGTGTGTGTGTGTGTGTGTGTGTGTGTGTGTGTGTGTGTGTGTGTGTGTGTGTGTGTGTGTGTGTGTGTGTGTGTGTGTGTGCAGGTTCCTTACCATTAGATACCTCACAAGTGGCCTAATAGTTTAATTTGATTATTCATGTAAATTTTAATAAAAAATGAACAATTACCATGGACGTTTAGAATAAAATTAGGAGCTTGCTGTTTAGATGAGAATACAGCATTTTAAATGTTAGAAGCTTGCCTGAAATATTGATAAAAAAAGAAGCCAGCTGTGTCCTTTACTGTGGCAATATGCTGCCTTAATTAAACTTATTACACTTATTAAATTGGCAGAAGGTTGTATATTTTAA